CCGCTGGGCCCCTTGTGTTCCACCAGCATTCCCCACAGGGTGAGGCCCAACAATGTACCTAACCTCTCCGGTCTTGTAAAACGAGGATAGCACAAAATGTTGCTCGGAGAATTAAACTAGTGATCCAAACCCGAGAAAAAACGTTTCCTTGCTCCCTGTCTCCTCCACCTCGTCCTCCAGCCCTTTCAGAATCCCAGCCTGCATTTCCCCCGGTGGCCCGTTAGCTCAAAGTGCCACACACCAGCAAGCAGCTGCGAGTAGTGATCCGAGAGAAGCCCTCTTTTCTGTTCCTACTGGCTTCCACCCTGTCTCTAGAGTGTCTTCCTATATTGTCCCTGTGCTTCCGTGTCTACAGACTTGCTCTGTCTCCACAGCGCTCTGCCGCTGAGCTAGGCCCTCCCAACCCTCGGATTTGAGGCAAGGTCTCCCTAGCATGGCTCCCACTGTCTTTGTGTTCTCAGCAATCCTTCCTCTGTCTTCTAAGTGTTGGCATGACAGACGTGTGCCACTATGGCCAGCTTGTGATTTTGAGTTCTGACTGACTGATTTTGGGGGGAGTGGGATAGTTTTACCTTCTCACATGCTGATAAATTAACTCATACCAAACTATTTATGTATTTTTATTTATCCCTCCCAGTGTGTTCACACATTTTGCTGCAAAAAGATATTACCACGCCTGATTGGGGTGGGGGTGGGGGACGGGATTCGGACAGTGCCTGCCTCGGACCCCTGGGGCTTTGCATAATATGTGCAGAACGGTTTTTCTAAAATTGGATCAGCCTTGAGTTCTGAAATGCATCTGTCCCTGAAGACCTCAGCTAAGGGATTGTGGACCTGCAGTTTGGCACACTGTCAAACCTAGATTTATCTTAATTACTAGTCCAACATTATTTAATGTTTTTGGGAAAAAAAACCCTAATTTTCCTTTTTTTTTTTTTTTTTTGGTCTCCTATAGTCCAAGTTGGTCTTGAACTTGTGTAGCAGAGGGATGGCTTAACTTTTCCCGGGGAGACAGGAACAAATGTCTCTTCACCCCAGACAGGGCACTATCAAGTGATTTTTTTTTGGGGGGGACGTTAATTAAAG